GAGAGAGAGAGAGAGAGAGAGAGAGAGAGAGAGAGAGAGAGAGAGAGAGAGTACATACCTTCATACATAATATATGAACATAGTATGTGCATTCCTATGTGTGCGTGTTTCTGTGTATCTATAACAAAATGAATACATCTTTCCCTCACAGTGGAGACAGCATCAGGCGGGTGCTCTGGTGTGGTTTGCTCCTTCTTTCCTATCAAACATCTGTTGTCCTGATCTCTCCTCCTTCTTCTTTTTATGTTTGTTACTCTCTTGTAACACCTCTAATCTTCAGCACTAATATGACTACTTGTGTTACAAGTGCTGTAAAACTCTCACTAAAATGAATTTAAAATTTCCCTCAGAGTGCAGACGGCATCAGGCGGAGACTTTCTCTACTACCTCAAGGAGTGTGACGAGAGACTACTGCAGGCCAACACAGACCTACGGAAACGAGACATCAAACTGGAGGTTTGTAAATACTAAATACACACTACAGTACGCGGGGTTGGGTTTTTTTCGGTTCACTCAATCGTTGCATGCAGATAAGTTAAAGTTATCTAATTCATTAGTTATGGAATAAAATCAAGGGCCCAGAATATGACGAGTGTCTGATTCTTCCATGTCATGTCACACATTATCCTTTTCCCCACTCTTGCAGGTTGTTTCTTTACTTACTTTTACTTTTTCATCCTCTGTTGCCGTTAAGCGTTGAGGGGAGATGCAGTTTTCTATGGTAGGCCATCTCCACAGCTCTTTCAGTTGTGATGTTATGTTTTCTTAGGGTTTCCTTGACACCCTCGATCCACCTTTTGCGTGGCCTTCCTCTTCCTTTATAGCCAGAGTGCTTGGTGTTGTAGGCTCTCGAGGCTGGCTGGTCAGGTGACATGCGTAACAGGTGGCCAAACCATTTTATCCTCTGTCTTTCTATGTAACGCAGGCAGGACTCAGTGCCGATAGCTGCTCTTACTTTTCATTTCTCTGCCTGTCTTGTGATATGAAGGGTTTTGCGGAGACATTTCATGTTTCCATGGAAACGTGAATTACTCCACTACACAATGGCACACACTGGTTAGAAGAACTGTGAACATAGAATATGAGTCCATGAGAATTCGTAGAAATACTGGAAAAAAATTCAATAGAAAAAAAGGACACAATTTTTATTTCACCAACAACAGCAGCAGCAGCAGCAACAACAAATAGAAAGACAGCAACTTTTGTAACAAAAAAACCAACAGCAATAACAGCAACAAAAACCGGCACAAAACATCAAAAGAGCAACAACAACAACAATTCAGCATAATCATTCATTTTCTTTGGTTGCAATTATTTTATACTTTCTTTTCATCTCCCTCTTTTTTTAATCCCTCTCTATCCCCTTCCCTGTTTGTATCTACGAAACTCTAAAGGTCTTGTAATCTTGTGGTTGAAGGATGCATCTGATGTGATATGTACATTTTGCCAGTTTTACTTCTTTTTTCATTTTGAATTTTAATGAGAGTAATATATAATTTATAGGCCTAATTTAAGTTTGTATGTATACCTGCATGTATTTTTACGGTCCTGAACAGCCAAGAAAAAATTCTCTATGGGATAATAAAGTATTATCTTCTCTTTTCTTCTCTTTCCTACTACCCAACTGCGACATGCCACCCCACACCTCCCCTCCCCTGACCTCCACACACCATCCCACCCCTCCCCACACCACCCAACCCCTCCCCGCACCTACTCACCCACTACTTCACTCCTCCCCTCACCACCCCACACCACCCCACACCTACTCCCCACCTTCCACCCCACCCCTCCCCACACTTACCCCCACCACTCCACTCCTCCCCACCCCTCCCACCCCTCCCCACACACCCTCCCACACGGATACAGGTGATCGACAGCGACACTCGTATGGTCCGACTCCTCAATGAGCTGAGGAGAGACAAGCAGCCCGACAAAGCCTTGGTGGAGTTCATCACTCACTTCTGGCACGAGATGAAGTCAACGACGGAGTCGCTACAAGTAAAAGCTTTGGGGAGTTTTACCTTGAGGGAGGGGTGGGGTGGGGTGGGGAGGGTAGGATTTGTTGTTGTTGTTAATGATGATGGTGGTGGTGTTGTTACTTGGCAGTCATGGTGGTGGTGTTGTTGTTTTTGTTGCTGTTGGTGTTGTTGTTGTTGTTGTTGTTGGCAGTCATGGTGGTGGTGGTGTTGTTGTTCTTGTTGGCAGTCGTGTTGTTGTTGTTGTTGTTGTTGTTGTTGTTGTTGTTGTTGTTGTTGTTGTTGTTGTTGTTGTTGTTGTTGTTGTTTCATCAGAAGTTGCCACCTAAATTGAAATTGGTGTCAAGGGCTGTTTCAGTTCTATGGGTCTTTAACTTTCTGCTAATGATGATGATGAGAAGGGGATCGGGAAGGAGGAGCAGGAGATGTTTGCTGTTGGGATAGGGTTGGGATGGGGTGGGGGGTGAGAGGGTAGGAGGGGGGGCTCTCTTATTTCCAAGCCACCACAGTCGGGTAATATTAACCCTATCCGTATGCCTGGGATCATTTGTACCCCCGGGTTGTATTCTTCACATTTTAGAATACTTCTAGTACGAAGATCTCTTTGAAACTTTCAGTATTTCTCAAAAAATAATTTTGACAGACTGCTATGCAAAGCGTACAGATCGGATAAATGAGTAAATTTCCTCTTTGTAAATGGTGGCACAGAGTTCCTCGCGTCGTATGGATACGATAGTAAAAACATGACGTATGGATAGGTTTCATTGACAAATGTAACACATAGGACTATATCAACCTCAGTACTCATTAATGCTAAGCATTTTGTTGGGGTTAGAGTTATCAACAAAACCCCCCTAACAAAAGTAGTATTTTTCCTCCTCTTCACCCTCTTCTTCCTTTCTGCAGGCGCTTCTCGATAAATTCAACAACACAGTCCTTCTACGCCTCAGCAACAACTACATAGGCAGCCACAGCGCCGACCTTCAGGTGCCCGTCTGCCAGCAGTACGCCCTTGACATTGAAGGTTTCCTCAAAGACCTTGACACCCAGCTCGGCAACGCCAGACTGATGGTGAAGAGCTACGGGAACGGCATCCACCAGAATCTCCTGGACGACTCAGACTTTTCCCAGCGCCTCATGGTCTGCTGTGACCTGAAAGCCTTCCCTATCCTCGGGTTTATTCACGACGTGTGTGGAAAAATTCTCAAAATGTGTGCATCGGCGCGGGAGTGGCTCGCGAGAGATGAGCAGTTCATGCACGAGATTAACTCTTTTATTCGGGAGACGAGAACGGTGGCGAGGAGGAGGGAACAGGCTTTGATGTCGGAGAAACAGAAGAGAAAGAAGCAGGAGAAGAACGTGAAGATTGCCCAGAGCATTCTGCACAACAACCGGCAAAAACTTCGTCTGATCGAGCAAGAGCTGCAGCAGTTGGAGACGCGGCTGAACGAGTCCAAAGTGGAGCAGAAGGTCAAGTCGGAGGAGATCCAGCAGAAGGAGAGCATGGTGGACTTCCTCAAGCTCACCCTGCAGCAGACCAAGAAAAACTACAGCCTGCAGACCAAGAGGACCAAGCTCTTACGGCAGGTGAGAATTTCACTACTTTTTAGTTTTAGTTTTAGTAAGAGTTTTACAGTATGTGCAACACAATAAGGTCATATAAGTGCCAAAGATTAGAGGTGTTATAAGAGGGTTACATACGCAAAAAAGAAGGAGGGGAGATCAGGACAATAGATGTTTGATAGGAAAGAAGGAGCAAACCACACCAGAGCACCCGCCAACCACCCATTTTCATTACTGTACTTCTACTTTTTCCTTCCTCTGTATCCTTAGGATGTTGAGAGGAGGTGCAGGTTTCGGTCCTGTGCTAAGTGTGTAGCGTCTGTGATAGATATGTTATGTTATTCCTGGACCTTTTTAACCCCATCCAGCCAGGTCTTTCTCGGTCTTCCTCTTGATTTGAAGCCAGATTCTCGGGTGTTTTAAGCGAATTTCGTTGTCAAGTAAAAAAGTTGTTTCGGCATCCAATCCGGATATTGGGGATTGCCTTGTTAGTGAGACAACTTCCCCTTACTTTCAGCATTGTGGTTGGGTGGCCAGTTCCTTTCGACGCCGCCTTTACTTCCCCAACTCGAAGTCTGGTACCCATTTCTGCTAGGTGGGCAGGAGGGGTCGAAAAAAATTTGTGTCCGAACCGAGGCTCGAACCCGGACTTTCTGCTTCGGAAACGAGCACACAAACTGCTCCACTACCACACCCTCTTCGTTGTCAAGACAATATTGAAATGGCATCATTTAGACTTCACAGTAACGACACTGATAATAGTATGTGATAATATACAACACGTTCGTAGTGTTTTTACTCTTTCTGCCATAGTGGTTGCAATCTTTTCCACCCTCCTCATCCTCCTTGTCCTCCTTCTCCTCCTCCTCTCTTTTTATCTTTTAAAATAGGATTTGTTACATCAACCACCTATAAACAATACATTTCTGACTTTCAAGTAATTGATAGTGAGTGATATGAAAGAATATTGTTTGTTGATGACTTATGTAGAACAATACAAGTTCAGTGAAATTCCCCGTTTTGGCTGCTTAACCCTATCTGTACATCCTGGGGTTATTTTGTACCCCCAGGGGTTTTATTCTTCACATTTTAGAATACTTCTAGTATGAAGATCTCTTTGAAACTTTCAGTATTTTTCAAAAAATCATTTTGACAGACTGCTATGCGAAGCGTACGGATCGGATTAACGAGTAAATTTCCTCTTTGGAAAGTAGTGGCACAGAGTTGCCCACGTCGTATGAATACGATAGTAAAACAAGACGTAAGGATAGGGTTAGCTCATTCTTTGCTACGGACGAGAATACTCGCAAAACCTGGGCCCCGCCCACATACTAATGACGAGTATTCTCGCTTTCTGCCTCGCTATCTTTATAGAAAAAAATTACTCTATCTAATCCATAGCCTACCACATTATTTTACTAATCGTGATGCATAATGGGAAAGGTCAAGGAGACATTTTTTTCTGTTCGAACAGCCACTGAGCCCGCTAGTTTTTATTTATTTTCGTTGGTAGACCTAATTTTATGTTGCCATAACAAAACTGCCCAGTATTTGAGGGGAGTTCACTGCTAGAGCACTCAGCATTAAATGAGTTAAGTACCAGTTACCTTTATTACTCATTATGCCTTCTTTTTTTGTGTATACCTGCATGTGTTTTTACGGTACAGCCAAGAAAAATTTCCCTCTGGGATAATAAAGTATTATCTTATGTTATCCATATCTTATTTTATCTTTTCCCTGTTCTTAAAAACTGTTGAGTGAAATGATTTGTTACCTAGCTTTAAAATAAAGTGCTGTTGTGTGTCAGTGTACAAAAATAGTGACGGTCGTGGTGTATTACTTACTTGCTTTTCACTTTTTTATCCTCTGTTGCCGTTAAGCGTCAAGAGGAGATGCATTTTCCTTGGTAGGCCAGCTCCGCAGCTCTTTCAGTTGTGATATTATGTTTTTTCAGGGTTTCCTTGACACCCTCAATCAACCTTTTGCATGGCCTTCCTCTTCCTTTATAGCCTGAGTGCTTGGTGTTGTAGGCTCTCGAGGCTGGCTGGTCAGGTGACATATGCCGTAACAGGTGGCCAAATCATTTTGTTCTCTGTCTTTTGTGGTGTATTATTTGAAGAAAATGAGCAATGTGAGTTATGCACTTGCCATGTTTATGTTGGAACTCGTTACAAGATTTATACTGTACATGTATAAATGCCCCCTTTTCCTACTTGCCACTGAAACCACGATTCTCCTCTGTGACAGTTAAAACTACATGTAGTCTTTGCTTCTCATTGATGTTTGGCTTTGCCTGTGACCCACTAGGTACGAGAACTGGAGGACTACCTTCGTACTATGGAGGCCAACCTAGAGGTGGTGCAGGACAAGATACTCGCTAAGTCACACGAGAAGATTTTACTGGCCGAGAAAATCAACCACTCGGAGAAGTCCTACGACGCCCTCAAGACAGACTTTGACAAATACTCGGACAATCTGGAGGAGTTGGAGGCAGAGGTAACGGTCAGACGGGGAGGAATCATCTGTAGTGGTCATTGTAGTCGTTACTGTAGTGGTCATTGTAGTGGTCATTGTGGTGGTTATTGTAGTGGTCATACAGAGAGGAACCATCTGTAGTGGTCATTGTAGTGGTCATTGTAGTGGTCATTGTAGTGGTTACTGTAGTGGTCATTGTAGTGGTTACTGTAGTGGTCATTGTAGTGGTTACTGTAGTGGTCATTGTAGTGGTCATTGTAGTGGTTACTGTAGTGGTCATTGTAGTGGTCATTGTAGTGGTTACTGTAGTGGTCATTGTAGTGGTTACTGTAGTGGTCATTGTAGTGGTTACTGTAGTGGTCATTGTAGTGGTCATACAGAGAGGAACCATCTTTCACTCTCAAAATTCTGCTAAGTCAAGTTGGTCTATTTTTTAAAGAAAATTTTCATCTTTCGTTACCCGAAGAAAAACCCCTCTGACATTCTAAATTTTCTTATTCTGAAAATTTCAGCTTTGGGGATGTATTCCACATGGCAATTTGTTGTTTTTCTTTGTGAAAAAAGACAACAAAATAAAACGAAAAAACACTTGGGAATGTTATAGGTTTGAAGGCTCTGAAAGGGAAACGGAAACTTATCAGGTGTTGGAACAAACAAAATAGCATGCTTTCTAATTAGCTGCGAAAACTTGACAAAATCGTTTTCCTCCTATACTATAATAATAATAAGTAGCATTTGTATAGCGCATATCCCCGCTCAACAGCAAGCTCTATGCACTTTACACTCTATTATTACCCCAGCAGACCATAGAACACTCCGAAACATTCTCAGCTTCCCGGGAAGCATACAGTGCAAGCAGCTGATTAAGCGCTCAAACACTAACAAACTGACAAGATCTTTCACTGTCTATAGCCGAGTACCCATTCCCACCTGGGTGAAGTGAGGTAAATTTGTGTAAAGTGCCTTTCCCAAGGACACAACGTCGGGCCTCTGACGGGATTCGAACCCACGACCTTACGGTTGCGAGTCCGAGAGCCTAACCACTAGGCCACCGACTATATACCAATAATTCCACTTGCTCAAAAATTGACAAGCGCCTGAATCCACCACGTTGTGACACATATTTTGCATGTGACTGTAAGCCTGCGTGAGTGTGAATGTGTGTGTGCGTGTGTGTATATGTGTGTGTACGTGGTGAAACACCAAACCAATGTGCGAGGATCTGAACAACAAAAATGTATCTTCTTATCTTATCTTAACATATCTCATCTTATCCTAACTTATCGTATCTTATCTTATCACACTTCCCCTCATAGGTGACAGGCCTCTCAGGTCAACTGCTACAGCTTGAGATTGTCCACACCATCAAGACGTCTCCGGAGACTTTGGACAATCTGCTGGACCGACCATCTACCGTCAAGTTGTCTCAGGTAGGGTCGGGTCTTGTGTGGGCTGGTATCTGTGTGTGTGAGTGTATGTGGGTGTGTGTGTGTGTGTGTGTGTGTGTGTGTGTGTGTGTGTGTGTGTGTGTGTATGTGTGTGTGTGTGTTTGTATTTGTGTGCCTGCGCGCGGGCTATTTACTCGTGATTGATTGGAAATGTTTGTGAATATGTTTTTGGTCCTCTATGACACAAATTGGATCATTCAGGAGGTGCATGGTCTGGTATCATTATTATCATTATTATTATTATGATGATTATTATTATGATTATTGTTATCATCATTATTATTATTTTTTAAATTATTATTAGTATCATCATTTTTACTATTATCATCATCATCATCAGCATCATCTTCATCATTATTATTATTATTAATCTTACACGTTTTGTTTTCTTTTGTGAATCCCCAGTCTCTCAAAGAGCGCATCAAAGAGAGGAAGAAAAAAGCCGCGGCCAAAGCCAGTTGATGATATTGTCTGGACTATGGGCGGGAAAACATCGGGAAAACATCAGGGAAACATCGGGGACCGGAAGCACGCTTTATCTTTACTGACAATATTGTACAGAGTTGAGCATTGTGACAGAAATGTGTTTGAGCTCCGGATTGAAATTAGTCCAAGTAGTACCAGGTGTGGGGCTATACTTTACTTTTACCAACATTCACTAAAAATCTTGACGCATCAAGACGTAGTAGATCTATACAAAGTACATTTCCCAAATGAGAGGCATGGTGGTGAAATCATGCGCTCGTCAAAATAGCGAAATTGGATAAACAGGCATTTTTCCCGCCAGTTTGGCCATGTTTATGGAATTTTTGTTATCTAATATTTATTTTTTAGCTCAACCCCATTTATGTCCATAAATAAAAACACATTTCCATATATGGATTTTACTGAAAAACGTTGATGAAAGGCACAAAATATATCATTTTTCTGTTGTGAAGGACTCTTTAGCAAACTTTGGTGGCCATTTTATCGCTAATTTTACCACTGAAACCAGGCAACCGCACCTCTTTCAATTTTTTAAAAATATCTCGACTTCTATTCAAGATAGGTGGGTATTTTTTTCACTGAAAGCAAGGCAAATATAAGCTTTCAGATGATACTAATGACTCCACTTCCCCAAAAATTGATGAGCGCCTGATTCCACCACGTCATGACACAAATACCATGTACCATGTCCTTGGAAAATCTATGTATAATACGACAGATACAACATGTCTCGACAACTGCCATACACTACGATACGTTATACTTATGCACAAATTTTTACGCTCTACCAAGCTAATTTAACATTTTGCCACCTCATCTTGCATGTTTACCTCCCAGTTTCTTTGGATTTTCCCCAAAATGGCAACGTGTTAAAGGTAAATGTACTGTATCCCAGCTTGTAATAATCACTTATGGCCTAGATGTCGCGACCTCAGTGCTTTCTTGTCATATCTCCATTTTTAATAACAGTGAAAACAGTTCATAACAAAGAGTGAGCTTAAGAAGAAGTCAATTTTCACTGTTTAAAAAATGGAGATACTATAAGAAAGCACTGGGGCCGTGATGTGCCAAGATCAAAGGAGGCGACCAGAGACTGGCAAGTGTGCTGTCCATTGCTCTCTGCCTTATATGGTCGCTTTTAAGGACAAGCGGGCTAACCCAGATTTCAGGGGTTTCCAGAAATCTTGACCAACACCAAAAGAAGGCATTACCCTACCTATTGGAGAAGTTTGGTTTCATTGGTGTGTATATTTGTTTGGTTATAGAGAAAACTCTCCATGTCTTTTAAAGAAATTGAAAAAGGGGCAAAAACTTTACTTTCATTTTTCTCAAAACAGCATTTTTCGGGATAGCCCACTTGTGCTTAAAAGCAATCATATTTACCTGATGGTAAAAGGAGAGAATAAATAAATAGGTTCCCAATAAAAACTAGAAAGTAAAAATCTGTATAGATCTACCTCTTACTCTTACTTCATGGATCATTATAGCTCTATGAATATTATTATAGTTTATCTACAAATAAATTAAATGTACAAATTTGTGCATATTTTTTGGAAACACTGGAAATGTACTGAAGCTACTCGTATACGTGCTTGTGATATGTTGCTGCTTGCTGCTCACCAGGTGTGATAACAATACCAGCCTATAACGTCCAAGAGGCCCAGAAAACTATCATCCTTATCCTCAAAAATGGGGAATAAGATGGAGATATCATCTTGTCATCATGTTAGTGTTTTAGCGCCTATAAATGGCTGCTGGCACTGTATGCTTCCCAGGAAGTTGAGGTTGTTTTAGAATGCTCTCAGGTCTGTTGGGGTAATAGTATAGATTGTGAAGCGCATAGAGCTTGCTGTTGAGCGGAGATTTGCTCTATACAAATGCTATTTAGATTATTATTATTATAGATGTAGGCACCTCTTGATGCACTGTAAGGAGGAGATACAAGCCAGATTTGTAGTGTTTAAAACTTTTGTTAGTTTTGGTTTTACAGACTGACACCTAAGGCATTTTTAGTTTAAATTTTTATCAGAGATAAATCAACCATGTTCCTCTTGGACAATCATGACGTCATTGCTTTAGAGGTAGACTGCGTGTACTCAACAAAAGATTTGCCAACCCCCCAAATTCACTTCGCTTATTTTTCAGGTTGGAGAATCTTGAGTTTTGCATATTTTAATAATGAAATGCTTATTTTGGAACTTGCTGGGATTTCAGCAGTTTAAAAAAAGCGAAGACCTGAACGCAAACCGAATTCTGTCATCGAATGCTAATTATTTATTTCCGATTCCGATACTTGATGGAGCAAAACAAGAGGTATCAGCAATTTCTTGCATATTCTCAACTCACGATGAGTACTTGAATTATGCAGAATCGGGCAACACCGACAAATTCCAGGCCTTCCACAAGCTGTCCCTGTGGTTTTATGCACCCCGCATAATTTAGCAAAATTTGATCATTTTTTTGCATAATTTCTTATTTTTTTCCTTTATAATTCTTTGTTAAAATTGACAGAATCGCATAATTTCACATTTTTGGGCTCAGTTTGCATAATTTCAGAACTTTTCTTGCATAAAACGATGGGGACAGCACAAGGAGACATACTACGCAATTGCTTACAGGTTGGCAATTCTGCTACAAAATGAACTGTTTAAACTATGTTATTTTTTATAATTTTTCTACGCAGACACATGAAAAACGCAAAACATGGGATAATACTGAAAATAAGTATATTACTGTGTTCTGTGATTGTAAAAGTTAAGTTTCTTCTACTTTTTATGTAATTTATCATGCAGTCTGTAAGTTAGAATGAGATCATTCTTCGACGTTTAGCATCTACACTACATTATTTTCATATGCGTTCCTTTCTTCATCTTGTCTCTTGTTGGCATTTGCAGCTGATATGTTTGTATATATCCCATGTACTCTTTCTTCTGCATGTTCTAAAGAGCTATGCCTTCGTCAAGCAGCCTTCTTTTTGTTGCAAGGGACTTGAAACTCAAAGCACTGTACCAAAGGTTTTTGTGTCTAGCTCGGCTTTTGTGGTCACCATGGTTACTCCATTCCCTATGGTTGCCACAGTTACTCCATTCCTTGTGGTCACCATAGTTACTCCATTCCTTGTGGTCACCATAGTTACTCCATTCCTTGTGGTCGCCATAGTTACTCCATTCCTTGTGGTTGCCATAGTTACTCCTTTCCTTGCAGTTGCCACAGCTGTTCCATTTCTCAACAGTGTGGTTGTTGTATCGACACCAAAAGCTGCTATTGTTGTCATTGTTATTTTCCGTATTGTTTTCCTGAAGAAATATGTGAGGCAGCATGGTGAGATCAGGCGCTCGTCAAAATAATGAAAATGAAGAAAGTGGCATTTTTCTGAAGGTTTGGGAATTTTTATTGAATTTTTGTTTTTTGGTTCAACACTTTTCATGCCCATTAAAGGACATATGTCTGTGTGGATTTTACTGAAAAACATTTGATCAAAGGTACAAAAGATGTAAGTTATAAGTTTTCACAGACTCTCAGGCTAAGGAAATATCTAAACTTTGGCGGCCATTTTCTCGCTAATTTTGCATCTGAAAGCAGGCGACCACCACCTCCTTTAATGGCAAATACTTCGATTTGTATCCAAGATAAAAATATATATTCTTTTCATCGAAAGCAAGGCAAATGGACAGGCTTTAAGATGATACCAATAACTCCAAACGTCCAAAAATTGACGAGCGCCTGATTCCACCACATCGTTACACATATCGTCTTTTTTGTTGTTTCATCATTCCTTCCATGACTCCACGGCATTGAGTTGTTCCCTCACTTCACTGGAGTGTCCAATCTTTACTGACCGGTGGTCAGAGGGTGACACCAATTGGTCTTGTTGATTTATTTCCTCTATCATTTCTGTCTGTCTGTCTGTCTGTCTGTCTGTCTGTTTGTCTGTCTGTCTGTGTTTTGTCTGCACCGAAGTACCGTTTTTCAGTTCATGTGCTGTTCTTTTTCATAACAAACGTCGGCTGTTCTTTTATTTCCCTCTATTGTAACATTGTTTGTGTCTGTCTTTTTTTATTTGCACTAAATGACTGTTTTTTAGTCGATGTGTTTCTCTTTTTTCTGAACAAGAAACAAACTGTACTTCTACATACAAACAAACAAACAATCTGTACTTCTACGGTCAATGCACTCCCACAAACAAACAGACAGACAGACAATCTGTACTACAACAGTCACTATACTCCCACAAACAGACAATCTGTACTTCTACGGTCAGTGCACTCAGAAAACAAACGGACAATCCAAACAGACAATCTGTACTACTGTTGTCACTACACTCCACAAAGAAATGGACAATCCAAACAGACAATCTATACTACTGCGGTCACTACACTCCACTGCAGACTACTCCACAAATGATAAAGTGTAATCTCAGAAAATGAATTCCGTCCTCAAATATTTTTGCCAGAACACAAGTTCATCATACCTGTATCATCCTGACTCCTGACCAAAACATGAAATGTATCGATACTTGAAAGGTCAAGTTACAAAGTTTGTTATAGCTATCACAGTATGTAAAAATATATGTGAGGCATCGTGGGGAAATCAGGCGCTCGTCAAAATAATGCAATCGAAGAAACTGGCATTTTTCTGTCGGTTTGGCCATTTTTATCGCAAAAATTTTTTTTTACTCCGTACCTTTAAAGTCCATTTAAAAACACATCTGTGTGGATTTTACTGAAAAATGTTGAGTTAAGGCAAAAAATGTAAATTTGTATTTTCAAAGGACTGTCAAGCATTGAAATTTGAAAGTCTCCAAACTTTGGCGGCCATTTTTTCGCTTTTTTTCTGAAGCTAAGGGACCCTCACGTCCTTCAGTTGCAAATATCTCGACTTCTATTCATGTCAACGAAAGCAAGACAAATGAACAAGCTTTAAAAATGGTACCGATAACTCCATATGTCCTAAAATTAACGAGCACCTGATTCCACCGCGTCATGACACACATAAAAGCCGCTATGAAGTGTCTATGTCAGAACAATCATTTAAGGAAGTCTGTATTTTTGTTTCGTTTGTTAACACAATTCATTGTGTTGTTTAATGTTGTTGTTGATGTAATCATTGTTGTAGTTGTTGTTGTCATTGTTGTTATTGTTGTTCAATGCCTTTATCATTATGTTTTACCTCAATGAGGAACAAAAACCACCTCTGTTTATCACCTTTATCAATGTTTTCATACGAAAACCAAATGTATGATATATGATATAATAATTATGACATAGAAGAAAACAAAAATTAACAATAAAATGAATACAAAAAGTGCCTTGTTGTTAATATTCTTCCTTATATTTTATATAATATACAGTGCAGCCTCTCTATAACGACCTTCAATATAACAACGTCTTCTGTATAGCGACAAGGTGCTCATGATCAGGTCCTGATTTTTCCCATATCAGCTATATATTATGTATTTATATATATATATCAATAGTAATATTTTGGTTGCCTCTCTATAACGACAACTCTCTGTAACGACATTTTTTTCTGGTCCTGACATGTCCTTATAGAGAGGCTGCACTATAATATATCGGGTGTTCCGAATGTCACGCACCATCCTGAAAACCTTCTTCCAAAAAAGTCCTTCCCTGAATGTCAAAAGACCACACGTAAACTGCTTGGGTGGTTTTTAAAAAGTTTTAGTAGAGGTTTTACGACGCTCACAACTGCACAAGGTCATATGAGCGCCAGAAGATTAGAAGTGTTACAAGTGAGTAACAAACATAAAAAAGAAAGAGGGGAGATAAGGACGATAGATGTTTGATAGGAAAGAAGGATGCTTGGGTGTGTGCAAAAACAGTTTTCATGAGAGAGTCTGCTCTGGTATTGTTGCTCTGAGAACACTATACCAGTGTCATGTTGTAAGATCTCCAGAAAGTTATAACCACACAAGTCACACAAATTTATCGTTTTAACATGGCGTAGGCCTAGCCTGAAGCGCACTATACAAGCAAGCTAACAATACTAAAGACAACCGAACATTTATAATAGTCTACACATTTACGTACAAACTCACAAACAAGCGTGAGAAAGCGTCATGTACCGGTGAACTACTTGTTCTTGTAGTAACGCTACACCGGTACCGACTGGAGAACTGCAACAGATAATGGGTAATCTGAGGCTGCATGCATGTTGAGAGATCAAAAGTTACAACCAGAATAATATGTTTAAACTTTGGCTGGCATAAAAAAAAGGTTTGAAGAAGAAAAAGGTGACCTATTACCTCCAAAGTGTAAATTCTGATCGCTCTCAAGCCACAAGAAACAATAAAACTACAGTCGAACCTGCCATGACAGCCACCTATACAAACGGTCACTTTCCATTTTTTTTTAGTAAGTGTTCTACAGGGCTCGCAACTACATAAGGTCATACGAGCACGCTGGACACATGTAGGAAATTTTGAATTTTGCCCGGGTGGCAGCCAAAGCCTTCTCTTATCAATTTTAGACTACCAAGGGATCTTTAACGTGCGCAACTTGCACACAGGACATCCGAGATTTTTTGTCCTTGTCCAAGAAGGCTAGGTGTAGATCTTTCCTACCAGAAGAGATCAGGAGTGTGGCTGAAAGACAGAAGTAATAAGGAGCCAAGGAGTAGCAGAAGAAAGGCTGCAGAAAGAGTCGGGAGCCCAGAGGAGGGGCAAAGGAGGTGAGGGGGTGGGGGCAGAAAGAGGAGACGAAAGCAGATGACAGAACATTGCTAGAGAGCAGAAAAGGAGGTGAAAGGAGACAATTTTATAGAAGAAAATTTTTTGGTCACTACCTGGATTTGAACCCGGGACCTTTGAATGAGAGGCCAACACCTTAACCTCTAGGCCACGAGAGCCCCCTCCCGAGTTTGCACCAGATATTGATATATATATATGTGATAATATTAATTATGAAAAATATTTACAAAGCACTAAGACGTGAGTCAACATTTGTAAAGTCATAACAATTTTACGCATATTTTCTTTTTCATGAAAACAATTTAAATCAAAGGCAAAACATCATTTAAAAATAGTTTATTAATCAGTCAAATCGAAACAAATATATGTACACTGTACAAGCTGGCAGTAGCTTTCCACAAATTTCATGAATATCATGTAAAGCGCATAGAACAATGATTGCAATATGGATTTGAGCGATACAAATGTCATATTATTATTATTATTATAAGCGTACAATGTAGCATTACAAGACGTGTGTGGGGGGGGGGGGGGGATGTCTTTGGCATCTGTGAGAAAAGTGTAAGGGGGGGAGAGTCTTGAACCAATGTAATATTACACTTTTTTTCGATCCTGAGGTGTTGACTTTATCAGAATTCCATTGTAATTTGTTTTATTTGTAATTAAGCATCTTTTACAATGAGGCATTAACATGATTTTCTCTGAAGATGATTACTGACATTTCGTTTCATTCTTGCTTAACCCTATCCGTACATCGTGTTTAACTATCGTTTCCCTACGACGTGGGGAACTTTGTGCCACCACTTTCCAAAGAGAAAGTTACTCGTTAATTCGATCCGTACGCTTTGTATAGCACTCTGTCAAAATGATTTTTTGAGAAATACTGAAAGTTTCAAAGAGATCTTCATACTAAAAGTATTCTAAAATATGAGGAATACAACCCCAGGGGTACAAAATGACCCCAGGGCTTACGGACAGGGTTAAGTTCTCCATGAAAGTATTCATACCAAGCAAAGAATAGTATAAACACAAACATTTTGTCTTTTACTTCGCAGATCCTAAAAAAATTCAACTCAGCTTTCAGTAACGTGTGACCCACGAAAACTGGCTATTAGACACTAAAAATTCCACTCAAAGGCGACAGCAGCTATTCATGGATATGAAACACAAAATAAAAATATAATCTGATACAGAATGCAGTTTCAAAAGTTAAACATGTCATATTCCCGACTCATCTTTAAAGAGACAATTAATGTATCATTTTTTCCATCCCACTTTGCATTTCCACTTTTTGGGTCCACAGGATGAGGCAAATGAAGCCCAAGTTTGCTGAAAAACAAACAAAAAAAAGAGAAAAAATGTCTATTACAATAACATAAAATAAGTGCTTCAAATAAGTACAAGAACAACTTTGTTAATCAGTATTGGTATTCTTTCCTCAAAGTAATTTAAGTTGATTTGTGGATGGGTGGCGGGTGCTCTGGTGTGGTTTGCTCCTTCTTTCCTATCAAGCAACTATCGTCTTTATCTCTTCTCCATCTTTTTTATGTTTGTTTTTCTTTTGTAACACCTCTAGTTTTCAGCACTTACATGACCTTATTGTGTTGCAAGTGCCGTTAAACTCTTACTAAAACTAAACTAAGCTGATTTTTCTGAACAGAAACTTTTACCATAAAATCAACCAGAAATGTCAAATAAAAATAGAAACATGTCAATTTGAATGAAAAAAATATTTTGCTCATATTATTAAGCAAAAATATTTGATAAGAAAGTTTGATTTTGTACTTAAAGTAGGTCATCGATGCAGGTCATATGTAAAAGCAACATATCTACTAAAACAGACTGGGTTAATGTGGAATTGTTTGATTACTCTCAGTTTTGACCAAAAAAATGTAATGTAAATATTGACATGACATATTTTTTCTTCATTAACCCTCTGACACTGGATAAAACAGCACCTGGACAAGGATGGCTGGGGTCTCTATAAATAAATTATCGATGATGATGGCCCTTTGACACTTTGAGTCATGGTGCCCTGAGCCTAGAGGATGTATGCACCTGAGTTCCCTTGGGCCAACAGATAGATCTCTTGAGTATCACTTTCAATGTTCCACGTAATTTACCAATTTGACGATCGTATAATTTTTTTCAAATTCACTTCCATCTTTATTTTTTTACTCGCATCAAGGAACATTCACATACATTTTCAAAAGTGTAAAAATATGAAAATTAAAATTAAAATTAAAATAAAGATATGAAACTAAAGACTTAGAGCTCACAAGAATGATGCAATTATAAGATCGTTAAAACACACAGCGTAATTATTCGATTGTTGATCGTTAAAACGCGCGGCGCAATCTTAAGCCGATCGGTAAATTGCGCGGAACACATATAATAAGGGAAAACGTTGCACACACTCAACAGGTATATAAGCCTTCACCCTCAGGCTTGCAGGTCCAAACAAAGTCACTTCGCATACTGGTAAGATGTTTAAGAGTCTGCTTCCATAGGTTCTCTCATTACTATAAAAAAAGTAGGGAAAGCATTTTGTCCTTTGTTATTTCATTTTTTTTCAAAAATCCTCCCACGGTGGCCCACTTTTCCTCACTCTCCCCTACAGTTCGACAAGAGCTCATCATCCTTGCTGCAATAAAGCATTCTCAGTGCTCTTCCCAAACAAGAGAGTGCTCATTTTTTACTCTGTCATCATGTGATGAGCATGACTTCAGTACTTCACAATCTATTAATAAAACTCAATCCTTATAAAATTCATCCCAGAAAGGTTTGATAGACATTGTCCTGTTTTAATTAAGTTTTTTGGGGGGGTTTTTGTCTTTTAAGTAATCTGATCAAATACAAATTCTATAAAATAACAAAAAACAAAACAAAAACAAAAACCGAAATCAATTCCAGAAAACTGAAAATTTAATTAAGTCAAATTTTTTTTAATGCCTCCACCAGGATCACTGGGCATAAAACTCTTTTCTATTTTGCACAAAACTATGACTGAACACATTCCAATAACCAGACTTACTATCTAGGCGTCCGGCAGTCTAAAAATTTGGACTTCACATCCAGCTCTACGTCCGACATTTTTGTGGCTGGCAACTTGATCTTAACCTGTGTTAAAAATACCAATCATAGTCGTAATTCAAAAAAGAATAATAATTAATAATAATAATAACAATAATAATAATAATAGTATTAATAATAATAATAATAATAGTATTAATAATAATAAAAATAATAATAATAATAATAATAATAATAACAATAATAATAATAATAATAATAATAATAATAATAATAATAATAATAATAATAATGTTGATGCAGATGATGATGATAATAACTAAAATGATAATTATAAAAATGATTATTTTGTTATAACAATAATAGTAATAAATAATAACAAAAATTGCCATATGATAATGATAATGGTGACAGATGGCATATGCGTACTCAAGAATTTGCTCAATGCACACTTCCTATTTCTCAAATGCCCTTGACAGCCCCTAAAACATTCAGAAACATTGACTGTCTCAGCTTCTTTTTTTTTGGTAAACATTTTACGGCGCTCGCAAGTGCATGAGGTCATATGATATGTCAAATTACTTTTCGCAAACTTTTCCTAAAACTTGTCTCTTTTACCGGGAGTTCGTTCATTAGATAAAGAATAATTAAAATAAGTTTACTAGTTTTGATTTAATTTCCCATTTAATGACATTTTGGTAATTTTTAGGTCTAGTACCAAAAAAGGGCCTTGTGCCTTGCAGTGGGTTTACCCCCCCGGGGATATAAAGGGGTTAAAGTACTTACAGTCATATTCTCACAGCTTGCAGTCATTGGCGTTTTGTTCCCCATCTGTAGAAAGATGTCTTCACTTGTCACCGACTGGCTGTACAGGATGTCGTAGCTGCAAGGAAAGATCAAACAGTCAGATCATCAAGGTTGCCAGCAGACTCTGACAGAAAAACCTGAACATTTTTCTGTACAAAATTCAATTCCATTAAAAATAAATAACATATTAATATGTGCCAAAATATTTAATATATATGTCTAGGCTTATTAGAAAAACCTAAATATTAAAAAATAGAACTCACCAATGACTGCATCCATATATATTGATGTGTGTAATAGATGGGGTAAGGTCTCGCAGTAAAGAAATTACTTTCTCCTCTTAGTTTTAAACTACGTACCTGTTTTAATACTAGGTACCTAATTTCTGACCCGTTTTGATTTGTTCATTCGGATTTTTTAATACAAAGTACTTATTTATTTGTAGTTGTTTTTTTAACGAATAATGCCCAGCCCCAACCGGAAATGCACAAGAGTTTGACGACCCATTCTGGCCTTCCTTCAGGCCTAGTCGGTGTTGGGTTACAATTTGCCGACCAGGTAGGAAATATTTTCCCGGATCTGCTTCACTTGTAGTAAGAGTTTTACAGCACTTACAACACAATAAGGCCATATAAGTGCCAAAAAATAGATGTGTTAGAGAAGAGTAACATACACAAAAAAGAAGGAGGAGAGATAAGGACAATAGATGTTTGACAGGAAAGAAGGAGTAAACCACAACAGAGCACCCGTCCAACGACCCACATACTTAAACTAAAAACCATTTACAGAAGAGGGAGTGGAAAGCACCTTGATCAATATCAAAATTTATGGGAACAAAAGATTTCAGGTCAAATCAGTGTATCATTGACACTGAGCCAAGTGAGCAGAGGACAATCCACTCAATGTTCATTCTGAATCAATCTTTTGGCTGGCGAGAAAACACACCAGCTCGATCAAAGGCATCAGTGGAAATGTCATCTGGTCTCACTTTTTCACTTCAGTGTCATGGGAGATGATACTGAAAACTGCAGAGAAAAACTTTGTTCGGGTTACTTTGAACTTTTTCAGGGGGAGCCTATTTCATGTTCCAGTTACACTTATTATGTCAGAAAACTTCAATATTTAAAAACTCATAATTCACAAACAAGAAGAACACTGACTATTTCATAAAATTTCAAAGGAATTACTCAAATAAATCAAGCAAGAGGCAATGATATTTTCTTTTCTCGAAAACACTCTAAAAGAAAACTAAAAATATTTGAAGGCAGAAAAAATAAAACAAGTCTCTATGGGATGTTGCAAGTATGAATATGTGATGAGAAGTGACTTAAGTGATACAGAAGTTTAACCAAAGGATAAAACATTAACAGTGCACCAAAATCCTAGAAACTACCCATTTATATATCTATTATCTATTTGTGGTGGCCGAATTTTGCTACTCAAAAGGCTTTTTAATGGCTGCATCGATCGACATGCGGTTTTCGCCAAAGATTCTTTGAAATATTCTTCAGATCATGATGCCCTTCGTTTTTTCAGTTTTCAGACAGTTTTGCTGCAAAAAGCTAAATTTCTTTATTTCGCCGATCGCTTTTGTAGGCCGACGCTTCTGTCTCTGTAATTTTAGAAAATCCGCCAGGTTTGTTTATTTAAAGTTGTACTTCCGTTCGATACTATCGCGCATTGTCGCGCAATACTGTGCACTATTTTAAGTGTGCGACCCATAGATCTAGCCTCATGTTTTCTTTTTTTTTACTTGGTGCTAAATTCGACTGTGATCCTTACGTTTGATGCCCACCATTGCTTTTTCTGGACTCCTTTGTCAAATTCTTTTTCTTGCTTCTGTCTCAGTCCGTTCATCGAACGGGGGCCCAGCTAGTATATTATATATTTGTGAAAGTTTGTCACTTTGGTCGCCTAAAACTTCCGAACCACTTTAACTTTCAAATTTGAAAAAAATTAATTGTGGTTCAAAATCATTTAAAGGGTGCACAGTTATAGTCTAATTTTCAGTTTTTTTATTAGTTTTGTTTAGATCTAATGTGGGGAAAGTCTGTCTTCTAAGACGCCATTGTTTGTAAACAAGTGAGACTTCCGTTCACATGCAGTGTGCACTTATTCTAAAACAACTTGACGATCGATTCTTTTGAGCCCGTTCATCGAACAAGGTACCCAGCTAGTAATAATATATTCAGCAGCCACACATTCTCCAAGGACACACTTATCTTTGTAGCATACGTTGGGACCAGTTCCATTTCTGTTAATTTGCTGACTCATAATAAACTTTTTAAAAATAAATCTGGTCCCTCAATGCTTTTTTCTAGGAAGATGTGATCGTGTCAATAACATAGAAAGCAGTTCACTTAAGGTGGACGATAAAAAAGATGAATAGAACATCTTTCTCTGGGCCCACTCTGTGACCGATGGTACAGGAAAGCTTACTCTGGCTGTGGTCGAGGATCATAAACAGAGTCGAACTCAGAACCTTCAGCAATTTCCTCTTCTGCCCAAATGTCTTTACTCTTCTTTTCAGGTTCTGAAAGAAAGAAAGAAAGGAAAAAGAGTTTCATACTGAAGCATGATGATAGGGAAAAAAAAAGGACAAAATAATAGGGTTTTTTTTTCTATGTCAGATGCCAAGTGAAAATTTTAAGAAAAAAAAAATGGATGTTTTTGTAATATACAGAACAATTTGCAAAGCAAATACACCATTATACGTTTGTAGTGGCTGGTTGGCGGGTGCTCTGGTGTGGTTTGCTTCTTCTTTCCTAGAAAAAAAACTATAGTCCTTCTCTCTCCTCCTCCTTTTTCTGTGTTTGTTACTCTCTTGTTAAACCTGTAATCTTCAGCACTTATTTTAGTATGACCTTATTGTGTTGCAAGTGCCGTAAAACTCTTACTGAAAATAAACTTTATACGTTTGCACGGTTGATATAACAAAGTACTTGATAATCTTTTACACACTACACACTTTCCAGGAATATTTTTTCTCACTTTGCATATATATTGTCATAACGCGGTGGAATCAGCCGCTCGTCAATTTGGAGGCATGTGGAGTTATTGGTATCTGCTTAAAGGTAAAGCTTGTTCATTTGTCTTGCTTTTGATGAAAAAAATTTCCATTTATCTCGGATACAAGTCGAGATATTAGCGATGAGGTGGGTTCACCTGGTTTCAGAGGTAAAATTTGCGAGAAAATGGACACCAAAGTTTAGTTGTTCCTTAGCTTTAGAGTCCGTGGAAACTGAAAATTTACATTTTTTGGTTCCTTTTTATAGTTTTTCAGAACAATTCACACAGAAATGTTTTCTTTAATGTGCAGAAATGAGGTTGAGCAAAAGAACAAAAATTCGATAAAAATTCATAAACTTGCTGGAAAATGCCAGTTTCTTCACTTTTATTATTTTGACGAGCGCCTGATTTCACCACACTGCCTCACATATACGCGTGGGTACAGTCCAAAGTTTCATAATTTAAGCACTTCTGAATAACCTATGCAAACTGATAAAGTATTGACAATGAAAAAATTCCTCAAAGATATAAAAACTCACAAAAGACCTTGCTCCTACTGTTTCTTCCTGAGACTAGAAATCTTTTTTCAGCCTCCAGCAACTTTTCTGCTCTGGGCTTGTTTACATGACAATCTCAAAAATGAATTTAACACTCTTCTATACACAAACAGATCATTACAAAGACACCCTCAACTCCCACAGATGAGGTAAAAAGTATTGTTAGACATCTATGCATAAATATATATACACGCATAATATATAGACCTTTACTTACATGTGTGCGTGTGTGTGTGAGTGTGTGTGTGTGTGTGTGTGTGTGTGTGTGTGTGTGTGTGTGTGTGTGTGAATTGCACCTCAAACTTGTAGACTGTGGCCTAATAAAAATTAAAGTAAGTATAAAACTTTGTAACTCCCTTCTCAGTGTACAAAGGTATAAGCTCAAACAAATCAATCAATAGAAACTCAAACATAGAGAGAAACACGGGTGGTTGGTGGGTGCTCTGGTGTGGTTTGCTCCTTCTTTCCTATCAAACAACTATCGTCTTTATCTCTCCTCCTTCTCTTTTTATGTTTGTTACTCTCTTAGAACACTTTTAATCTTCGATATTTTACCTTATTGTGTTGCAAGTGCCGTAAAACTCTACTAAAACTTTTTTTTAAATAGAGAAAAACCTGTAATAACTTACCTGTAGCTGAATTGTCCTCTGAGCCTTTTTCTGGCCCAATGCTTCCAGGACCCAGTGCTGCAGTGCTCCCGCCTGTGACCTGGGAGGAGAAATTATGAGGTGTGCTGACAAAACGAGTTACTTCTCGGATTTAGGCCTTATTTATGGAAACTGATACATCAACTTTATTGGTTTTAGTTTTAGTAAGAGTTTTACGGCACTTTCAACACAATAAGGTCATATAAGTGCCGAAGAATAGATGTTTTACAAGAGAGTCACATACACAAAAAAAGACAGAGGAGAGATCAGGACGATAGATGTTTGATAGGAAAGAAGGAGCAAATCACACCAGAGAACCCGCCAACCAACCACTAACTTTATATGTGTAGTTTGTACAATTTGAAAGTATGGAAAAATAAAAGACAATGCAGACTTGAAGAAAGCCTAGTGTTGATTTTCGACAGATATCTCCATTCTCAGATTGTGAAAAGTAACTCATTTTGTCAGCACGCTTCACAATTGTGTTTTAAAATTCCACAACCCAAAAACTAAAAATGTAAAGAAAGATAATTAAGTGTCTAATCATTCCACCTTGAACTCCAGTTACAAGTCTTTGCATCCGTTAAGACAGGACTGGATGCATTGAGAAATTACTCAATGAGAAACTAAATTGTGATCAAGTCCAACTTTAAAGTGATCATCAAGTATTCAAACTTTTGACATCAAAATAGAGGTAATCAAAACAATGGCCAGTAAAGAACCATTCTCACAGCATGAAAGGACCACAGTACATCTGCTGTCATCAACACCATTAAAAATAATGTAAGATAAGACAAGATAATACTTAATTATGCCAGACGAAAATTTTTCTCGGCTGTAAAAAATAAGGACCGTAAACACACATATGACATAAGATTCAAATTCTTACCACATCTTCATCACTGTCTGAATTTTCCTCTGGGTCTTTAAAAAGGTCAACAATTGCACTGATCTGCGTTGGTGCCAAAGACATAATGATGCAGTGGTCTGTGGTAGTGCAAAAAGGTCTTTTTCTGAAGATTGTATCCAATGGAATATTCCTAAAACAGAGAAGGAAAAAGGACACTATATTAGTTTTTAAAAAGCCTGCAGGTACTTTATACTTAATAGGTGAAAAAATCATGAAATTAAGAAGACTGAGGTAGTGAAAACTTAACAATCAGTCTTGCTCATGATGAACACAAATGAAAGGAATTATTCAGCATTTGTTGAAATGGTGTTTGAGACACAAACTTTAAAGAAAGATGCAGAAGGTCATTTTTACAATCATCCATCAAAATTCTTCCATCTTAACCATCTTGTTACAAATTACAAGTATTCGTATGACCTTAGAGCATGCATTAGAATAACATTGAGAGTCAGTTTACTGAGTATGTAGGTGAACCGGGGCAATTCCACCCACGGGGTAATTCCACCCACTTTGGACAATTTTAAGGGACAAAACTCTGCAAGTCATTTGAGGAGAGTTTTGCCACTCATGATTATTGAGTTACATCCCCTGGACTTCCTTTTCCTATTTCATCTACTTTTGAACCTGTGGATGTTGAACAGCAGCCTTCTCAAAGA